ATTTAAATGAACTTTAGTTTTTGAGGCCCGAAACATGTACGGGCCGCGGATTAAACGGGTAGACCGCGGGCCTTAGCCCATATACCCAGCTCTACTTTCAATGTTTGATACTAATTCAGCCCCTAATCTGAAGCTCAAACATATAAATCATTACACGAAGATGTTGCCATTTGAGATAAGATATAGTTCATTTCATAAACTGAATTAAGTTCTAGGATTTTTTAAAATGATATCTAAGTTAACGTAAATTTAATAATTTTAAATTCATATTTAAGATTATAAATATTTAGGTTATATTTGAGTTATAGCCATTGTATTATATCCAATTTAGATTTTAGTATATTTATTGATAGGGTACGACCGATTGTTTGACGGGCAACACTTCATAATTTTTTTTCTGGAGGAGTCGAAAAATCCCTCAATAGATCTGATTTAAGATCTGATTATGTATATATTTGCAATAATTAAGCAGCAAGAATAACAATTCCCCTAGTCCTCATCCTCCCCCTATGGGTGTATAATTAATGAAAGTGACTCTTCATGGATGATTAGATTAGGTTATATCAGCTTGAATCCATGAAGCTAACGACGACGAGCCATGTGTGGACGAAATAACCACATGCAATGATCATGCATGAACCATGCAATGTTCAATTAACCTAGTTATCAAACGTGATCTAGACATGGATTCTAGCTGTTTCTCTGAAAAAAAAATAAACTTGAGAAAACATCAATGCATGTTAACCGACAGCACCATCAAGGATGTTGATAATGATGGGATTGCTGTATGATAAAAAGGAGGAATTATCAACCAAGGGGTTGCCTGGATAATCTCTGTCAAGATCACATGAATTTCTTACTTCTAGTTTTGTGTTATGTTACGAACATAATAAAAATTCTTGTTAGAGGTATGTGACTTGAATTATTTTTAATTGGGCTTGAAATAGTTATGAAGAGACTCACTTAAAACAAAAGTTAAAATGAGGATATGCGGTAACTTCAGCCCCCACAATACATAACAACTCAATACGTGTAGAACTCCACTTTCTTCTCTTTGTAGGACGACGAATAGTTGAAAATTCAGTTTGAGTAAATTTCTTTCTATGTAAGTTCCCATTGTAAACAAGAAACTTATCTTTATAAATAATTATTAAAGATTAGAGTTTAGAAGTAAATTGACTAAACCTTAAATCATGTCTAGACACAAATATTTTTGTACTCCTTTTTTTAATTTGGAGTAAGTACAAAGCAATATATGTTCAAAGATAATTCTCAATATCATTTGACATTGAATTTACACATCTAATATTCACGGTGCTTGAATCCGGAACCTCAAAGAATAATAACAATTCTTTTACCACTGAAGTCGCTCAGTTCGTACTAATAGTTGAGACATTAAATATTGCTACTAAGAGAGGGCATAGCATTGGCCTGGTGAGAAAGACCCACATGTTGACAACATTAATGGTTTCCATCCTCGACCTCTTATGTCCGTAATTAAAATAGGTCTAGATTAAATCTAAAATCAAATTAAATAAGATATTTAAACAAAAAAGACTCGTATAGATTTTTGTATTCAAAATATTCTTAAATTAACAGATTCAGATAATCATTAACCAAATTTCTTGGCCTTTATAATCATAAATCCATCAGATATCATTTATTTTGTATTTGAGGTTTGTGTCTAATAATTTATTTTTGAAGATTTGAATCTAAATTTTCTTCATTTTGAAGGTTATCTGCTCCGAGGAGTACCACGTGACATGATATGGCTGTGAACACACCTAAAAATCAACACCGTGCTCTGTATTTATTACCATCCTCACCAAGATTTCTTCACCTGGACATTATTTCGCAATCCTTTGATATAATTTATCCTATTGATTCGAATTAATTGATAAATGAAATAAATATTGATGATCATATTAAAATATATAAAATTATTATTTAATATATAAGTTGAGGTCAATGATTTTGAGTTTAATGTGTGGTTTTATGGGCAATAATGTTTTTTAACATTTCCGGTAAAGTGTCTAAAAATAATAAAATTGGTAGAAAAAAATAATGTTTTAGATAGCGCTTTAATAGATATGTTAACAAAACCGGTAAAACGCCCAATAATAATAAAACTGGTAAAAATAATAATATTTTAGGTAATTTTTTACCGGAAATATTAAAATAATAATAACGAAACCGATTGTGTCTTTCCTTAATCATATATTAAAGCTGACACACGTGAGACTTCTCCGATTTTATGTGGTGTTGGATAAGGCTGAGAGATGTGGTGCGAGGGGAGACAGTGTCGCAATTAGTATTATAAGGTGAGTAGAAATATGAGACAAGACAATGCCACACTTATACCAAACTAGTATTTGTATCGATTTTGTTATATTTTAATTTCCGGGTTAAGAGTTTAATAAACTATATATAACTGTTGAAATAAAATATTAAGGGTACATTACACTGTATACCATTAAATTGTATTCACTCTTATAGTTTTTATAGAATTTTTTATTTTTGGTTACATTATCAATTTTACTAGTATATTAAATCTAAGATCAATACTATTTTAACACAATTTACCCTTTGATTATATCATTGGGTTGTTAATTGATTAACGACGTAATGACATGAACAACAATTTTTGTCATTATGTCCAAGGATGAGTTGAGGGGAACGGTCGAAGGCAGTTATCTATATAAAAAATTTAAGTTCTTGTATGAATTAGATATTTTCTATTGATAATTTGTTTTTGTCCTCTAAAATTTTATAAATTTATTACTAGCATTAAATTATATATTTGTCCCTGACTATGTTGGTGTAGAAGTTAAACTAAAATAATATCATCTTGTGTGATTATTTTGATGTCCAAAACAACATCATTTTGTTGAGAAAAAATTAAAGAAAATTTAGAATGCATGTTAAAAGGTTGAGACCAGGTACCTTTGGAAATGAAATTTGACATTTAATCATTAGGTTAACTTGAAATTTTATTATTTTTCTAATGTAAATAATATATATGTTTTCTTTTTTCTTACCTCAATGAGAGTTGAGCCTATGCATGTTTACCAGCTTGTAAAGATCGCCTCGTCGTTGTTTCGTGAAGGGAAGATTTGCCCTAAATTTATTCACAAGCAACCACTTAGAACGATCAGAAAGCATTATGGATTACGTCAAATTTCGTAAAGCATGTAAATTTTCCTATAACAAGTACTAGGTGGAAGCCGCCGTCGCCTGTCGGTCACCTCCGTTACTCGAGTATCGAAGAATCAATCTCTGCTATTATTATGTCTTCTTCATGTTCTGTGGCAGCTGGAACTTCTCCAAACTGTCGCCATGCAACAAATTAAGCACACTAAATCATCAAATAAGGCCATTCCCCGTCATTTAAGTCGCAAAAAGGTCGAATGTTCAACGGTAGAAAGATCGAAACCGCAATATCGAATATATAATTGTATCACAGTTCAATGGAGAAGTAAACAAACCTCTTGCAGCATATGTCATTGCTAATTCTGTAAAGCGAATGTCGTAACAGATTCCTATACCAATACGCCCAACATCTGTATTCAAAATATTCCATAACATGTTCATAGTCGGAAAGTCTGAAGAAACACCGGACATGTGTCCACGCCGATGGGATTCTTCCCTGCAGTAAGGGTCTTGGAGTAAACCTCAACAACGTTTGGGTATAGAGCCGCCAACGATTGTGATCTTCAAGCGACTAGTAACCTCAGACAGCGTAGCTGTTGAAGGAGAAGCGTCATCACCACCTGCATCGAGGTTCCCCGGGTAGTTCAGACTTTGAAGCTGATGCCATCAGGGATGATGTTATTGAATCGGGTTGGATTTCGAGCTCCCGATAAGATAGATTGTACATATCTTGATGGGGTATTAGATTCTTTAAACAGATCAAAAATTTAAATTTTAACATTATAAATAAAATAAATTGAGTTAAAAAGATACCCTGTAATGAACTTTTATATTATTCAAATCAAATTAATTAGTCATTAAATTAAATACCAGTGTCATATAAAAACCATATTAACTCAAATGTTTTCTTTTTTAAAAATACAGATGTTTTAAAGAAATTTTTAATTATTTTTTTCTCTTTGAAATTATATCAGGTCGTTAACCTAATGCACTTTCTCAGGAGGGTCACTGAATGATATAAAAACAGCAGTAGCATACTCTACTGTAATCCTTAGGTTAAATGGAATTTTCATTTTTCACCACAATTTTACTGTTAAAAATAATGATAGATTCAAAAAAATAAATATATTTATATAAACAATAAAATAATTATAGGGGATAGATACAAATAAAATTTTAAATAGAGATAATCAACAAATTTGCTGGGATAGTTAAGTGGAAAGATAGATTTGTTAATATAAGATATTGGAGAATTTATTTTTCAAATAGGGTACATGTTATAGTGCTAATAGAAAGTCATGTGAATCATCTGACGTCTTTGTGAAAATATACGACAGACACAATGTCTTTGACGGAAGATACATGGAAGTGTCTTCCCGCCTTAGCTCATGTGCTTATCTTCTTTGTCTCTCTAAACTCTATTAATGGTGTCCGCTAGCTCTCGCGTCTTCTGCTATAACAATGGTCCAAGTCATTTCACCATCTTTGTTTGACTTATGAAATCAACTCAAGTCTCTTATCATTTCTCACGAACTCAAGAATGTCAACAATGATATTATCAATTTTACATCCACCGACTGTATGGAGTTTATAAGAATCATATTTGAAAATATACTATATTACCTAGACGTCTTCACGAAGATATTGATTCATATGACTTCTCTACTTCACTGTAAAAACCATCATATTTGAAAAAAAAATATTCAATGATTATTATTTGAGATATTTTATTATTATTATTAGAATAATTTAATCGAATATAATTAATAAAATAGATAATTACTCGAATAAAGTTGAAGTTTAATCTACACTTCCACCTAAATAAGGTGGATCCGCCACTGGCCAGGACGATCTGTGAAAACAAGCTATCTCAAATGGCACTGCCGTCAACAAGGGCTATTACCAGCTCGGCTCAAGCTTTGGACCTCATCCCCATCGTAAACGCCATAACCTCCCTTCTCCAAGCCTTGAACCCCATAACCCCAAACCCTAAAAACCTCAGTTCAGCCCCTCTAAACCGCTTCTCCCCTTTCCTAGACCCAAACTTAGTCACCCTCGTCATCACCAAACAAACCAACCCTTACCACGCTCTGTTCTTCTTCAACTGGGCATCAAACCCAAACCCCAAAAACTACACCCACAATCTCAGATGCTATGAAGCCATCACAAACCTCCTCTTTCACCACTCATTATTCCACCCCGCCATCAAACTTCTTAAGAAATCCCAAAACCTCTCGGATTTCTTCATCGGCAAAATCATCAAGGCGTATGGGGATAAAGGGAACATCAAAGCTGCAATCTTTTGGTTTAACCAAGCAAAATCAATCGAGAAAGATAAGTACTTGTATTCATTTAACTCGATTCTGGGTGTTTTAGTTAAGGCTAACATGATCGATTTACTCGAATCCTTGTTTGATAATGTTGTGAAGGAAGGTGGGTTTCAACCCGATGTGTCTTCGTATACTATACTGATAAGGGGTTTGTGTAAGAAAGGGATGGTTAAGAGTGCACGGAAGGTGTTCGATGAAATGCCTTGCAAGCCGAATTCGTTTACTTTTAACACTTTGATTAATGGGTTTTGTAAGAAGGGTGATATGGAGAGTGCAAGTTTGATTTTCGATAAGATGATGACTGAGGTGGATTGCTTGCCTGAAGTTGTAACTTACACTACCATGATCGATGGATATTGCAGAAAAGGAGAATTCGTCGAGGCAAATAAGTTTTTGAACAAGATGGTGAAAGGGGGTTGCTCACCTAATTTGTTAACTTATAATGCTATTATATATGGTTTGTGTCTTAGAGGGAAAGTCGACGAGGCTAAGACGATGATGTCCGAGATGAGGTTGAATGGAGTGAAGGATAATGCTGCAACTCATTTGAACATATTGAAAGGGCTTTGTATTGCAGGGAGGTCTACAGAAGCCATTGAATATTTCAGGTGGATGGTTAATTGCAATATGGATTTGGATGCAAAAGCATATACTGTTGTTGTGAATGAGTATTGCAAATTGAGGAAGATTGATGAAGCGGTTTCCCTTTTGAAGGGAATGTGCGGGAGAGGCATTAGTCCAAATGTAAGTTCGTTCAATTCGGTGTTTCGGACACTCATGGAGTTGAGTGAGCTCGATAGAGCTGTTTTGCTTCTACAACAGATGCCCCGAATGGGTTGCTCGCCGAATCATGTGTCATATAGTACTGTCATATGCAGTCTTTGTCGGACCGGAGGTAGGATGCGAGAGGTCGGATATCTGATCGATGACATGCTTCGAAATGGTATTAACATCGATGCCACCATGTACGGTTGCTTACTTGCGGGATACAGTGAGGCTGGAAATGAAATGGCAATGCAAGTTTTTAATGAAATGATCGTTAGGAGTTATGTCATTGGCACGGAGAGCTTCTCGGTTTTTGTCGAAATGCTTTGCTCGAAAGGGATGATTGTGAAGGCAGAAAACTCCTTCGAGGACATTTGTAGGACGTTCCCCGCTGTTGAAAGGGATGGTTATCGGAAAATCTTAGATGAGCATCTGCAAACAACCCAAGGATCAGGTAAAGAACACCGAGGAGAAGAGACTTAGTGACGATGGAAACGCTAAAGGTTCATTACTCATCAGTCATCTCCTAATATAGCTTTTCACCCATTTTCAGTAGTCGTGATTTTATTGGTGTCTACAGATCTAATTTTTTTTAAAGAAGATTATAATATATTATAATCTTGTTATAGATCATGTCCCGAATTTTGTTTCTCTCGATTCAAAAAATTTACGATACAACTCGTTCAGCGATGAAATAAATTAAAATTAAAATTATAAGACGTGGAGAAACAAAGCCGTCTCGAATATTTTCGGGACCTTTGGCTAAAGTAAAAAATAGGCCCTAATTGAGGAAAATATACTCCATTAATTTAAATAATTAATTTAATATCATAGAAAAATTATTAAACTTTTTCGATTATTAATTTCATTGTTTTGTTAAGAAAATGTCTTAAATACAACTAAAAGAATAAAAAAATCGAATGTCGATATAAATTATGATATGGAGTTTTATTCTAAATAATAAATTTAAAAATAAAGAATGACATATTATGTTATCTTTAGATTGAGATTGGAGAATACTAAGAATTAAAGAATATTTAGTAAATTGAAAAATAAGATTTGTAAAAAAAAAAGAGAGAAATATAATTAAATTTAATTCAAAATTAAATGAATTAATGTAACATCCCAAAATACGGGTTAGTAATTAACTTATAAAACTTTAGAGTTTGGTGATCGAAGTAGGATATTTGAATAGTTTAATGATTTGTCCAGAAATATTTCCTAAAAGTTTATAGTAATTATCCAAAGAATTAAAGGGCAAAATGGTCATTTAGCATGAAAGATATTTTTCCCCAATAATATGAATGAATCACGTGGAGGTGGGAGAAAGAGTTATCTGAAAACTCTTTCTTCTTCCTTTCTTCTTCTCCCAACCGTGGAAGCTAGGCAAAGGTAAGTGTTTTCTGAGTTGTTAATTATTTGTTAAATTAAAGGTTAGGTTTTGATCACTAGATGATAATTAAGCTTAAGGAAAGCTTAATTCATTCTAAAACAACAAGATGAAAGGTATAGGAGAGATTAAAGATTTTGAGTTTTTGAATGAAATTTTGAAATAGAGTTGATGAGTTGAATTTTAAGTTGAATTTGACTTGTCATCTATGAGAATAAGAAGATAGAAGTGTTGGAATTAAGTTTGAATAATATAGAAAATTTAGTATGATTCTTGAATTACATATGAGGGATAAAATTTTGAAGTTATAGATGATTTTCATGAATTTAAGTTGGTTTAAGTAATGGTAGTTGAGTTTAATGTCATGAAAAGGGCTTAAAATAGAAGAATTAAGTGAAGAATTGATTATTTTCGGGGTTAAAATACAATTTCTGGGTAGAGGGAACCGATGCCTATGAAGGGGAATTGATTCCCCTTCTTGAACGAAAAATTTCCAGTATGTTCAAGGGGTATCGATTCCCCCTGGGGGGGATCGATTCCCCCTAAAGGAAAAATGAAATTTGGTTCAATAATCTGGCTTAAGTTGTTAACATTAAGTTTAAGGTTTAGGCTTCTGATAGTTGTTTTGAAATGTTATATTTATGTAGATATTGAGCCTAAACAAGCTCTGGAATAATCAAGGGATTAGAATTGATTCAAATCAAAAAAGGCTAAGGTGAGTGCAATTTTAATTGTACTTCTATTATTGAACGAACATTGGCTTGCGATGAGTCAGTGATGGAGTTACTATGGTAAGAAGCGACTCCTAAAATGTTATTTGATTGGTGATTCTTATATGTGCATGAATACATGAAATGAGTATAGGTTATTATATATGTTACATAATATGCATATGTGATATATGCTATGAGACATGACCAATGTGAAATGAGATAAGTTATATGACTATATGAAATGATATATGAATATGCAATACGTGATATATGTGATATGATATGAAATGGCATATGAATATGTAATACGTGATACATGTGATATGATATGAAATACATGGTTACACATACATGTGGTATGTGATAGAAGAGAAAGAACAAGTGATGAGAAATGTATTCATAATAAATGCCCATAGTACATGATACGAGAGTTATAGGTATAGTTGGCATGCCAAGAGTCGAGGGTTACATATGTCCTATAAGACATATGATAGGTCCTACGGGACACAGATTACATCCTTCGGGATGACAGGTCCTTCTGGACACAGATGACATCCTTCGGGATGATAGGTCCTTCGGGACATTTATACGAGCTGTGGTGACAACATATGTGTGCACAACCTCAATGTACTCGCATACCTCTATTCTCAATAATATACATGGGCAATACAATTGAAAGATAAATTAAAGTGAAAGTGGCACAAGAATGTAAGTTTTACATGTGCATGACATGCTTATATATGTTATCGTGTAATAGATACATGCATGTTGAAATGTCATGATCAAATGATAAGAATACATATTCATGAATTTGTTGTTAAATGTTTATTTACTGCCTCACTAAGTCTATGACTTAGCGTGTAAGTGATTTACACGTAGGTACCAAGAAACGAGAAGAGCAAGAATAGAAGTGGCAAGGACAATATTATTACTAGAAGATCAGATCAGAAGTAATCGACAAAGTATGTATTTTGGTGTGTATAGAGTGTTGGCATGTAATAAGTCGTTAATTACGAGTACTCTGATGGAGTTTGTATTTTGTGGTCATTTTTATGTAAATTAATGTATTTTGCTTTAAACAAAGTTTTAAATTTCTCTGTTTTTCAAAAGAGTCAAAGTTTGAAAAGTCAATGTGACACCTTAGACTTGTATTCAAGTCGGGTACGGGTTGGGGTGTTACAGTTAATGGCATCATAGCTAAGGTTTAGTCGATTATCGGCATAAACCGGAGTCTTGAGTGTTTTATAAGGTATACATGCCAACAAAATAGTGAAAACTTCTGATCTGATGGAATAGTAAGTATACTGTTGTGCTAATAGAATTATATGATTGTATTTTTATAGATGTCCGGACAATGTAGTTATAGAAATGAAGTGGGAGATGATATACCCGCTGAAAGTAGTAATTCACCTGCCTTGGCCAGGCAGAGTGAAGAACAGACACCCTCTGGAGTTCCTGTGAATGATCAAGATGTATTCTTTAGAACTTTAGACGCGGTATTGACACGTTTTCAACCTTCTGTTTCCTCAACTCAAAGAATAAATATTACGAAAGAGTTGAAAGGGCTAGGAGCTCCTAAATTCAAAGGTGAAGCCGAGGAAGATCCTGTTGCTGCGGACCTTTGGCTCAATGATGTGAAGATTATGTTAAATGGACTCCATTGTTCTGATTTGGAGAAGTTAGATGGAGTAGTCTCTTTGCTTCGTGGACAAGCAAGAATCTGGTGGACAAATGTTACCTTGAGGATGACCAGTGATCAAGTGACATGGTCCTTGTTTTTAAAAGAGTTTAAGCACAAGTATATTGGAGATCAGTTTATAAGGCAAATGAAGCAAGAGTTTATGAGTATGAAACAATTGAATCACACTGTATATGAATATGAGTGTGAGTTTAATAAGTTGAGTCGTTTTGCTGCTGAACTGATTCCAACAGAAAAAGATACTTGTGAATGGTTTGTTGAAGGCTTGCGTCCGAGGTTGAAAGAAATGTTGATCGTGTTGAACTTGTCCTCGTTCCAAGAGGTTGTCAATCGTGCTAAAGCTTTAGAGAGAGCTCAAAATGAAAGGTTTGGGGATCAGAGAGCCCAACCGTCTAAAAGAACTGGGGCTTCATCAAGTTTTACACCACCTAAGAGAAATAGAGATTCTGGTTTTCGTTCTCAGGCGAGGTCTGAATCAATGTCATCTTCCGCTATAGGATCAAATCAAATGAGAGCTAGACAAACTCAATCAATAGGGTCTGGTACTGGTAGAGCAAATCCGGGTCAAGAAAGACAATGTCAGACTTGTGGAAGATATCATAATGGTATATGTAGAGTAAGAGTCGGAGCTTGTTTCCGATGTGGGGAAATGGGACATTTCATGAGAGATTGTCCAGTGAGGTCCGTAGAGCCTTCACAGTCGGAGCGATCTGTTTCGATGTCTCAGAGAGGAAGGGGTAGAGGTAGAGGAAGAAGTCAGCCTGAATCTTATACTCAACAAGAGGTGCGCTCCGTTGCTCGGGTGTATAACCTCAAGACCAATGAAGAATGTGATGATCCTGAGATAATTGTAGGTACCTTTCAACTGTATGATAAATGTGTTATGATATTGATTGATCCGGGGTCAACATATTCATATATTTATAGTAAATTGGTGAGTGAACTGAGAATTCAATTAGAAGCCATTAGTAATGATGTGATAGTAACAAATCCATTAGGGCACAATGCTCGGGTAAATAGAGTGTGTCGTGGGTGTCCCATAAAGATTCAAGGAATCGAATTCCCTGCTAATCTGATGGAATTACCCTTTGATGAATTCGAAGTGATACTGGGAAATGACTGGCTATATCGCTATTATGCTAATGTTGATTGTAGACTGAAGAGGGTCACATTAATTAGTCATGACAGAGTGGATGTTATAGTGTTCAGTAAAGGATGGAATCCATTGGCAAATGTAATTTCAGCAATATTGGCCAAGAAGTTACTGCTACAGGGATGTCAAGGGTTCATTGCTAATGTGCGGGATGTTAGAACCAAGGAAAAAGGGATTGAAGAAATTCCTATTGTCAAAGAATTTTCTGACATATTTCTTGCAGAGTTACCAGGTATGCCTCCAGACAGAGAAGTGGAATTCCAAATTGAAATAATGCCTGGAACTGTATCTATTGCCATGTCACCATACAGAATGGCTCCAAAAGAGTTGCAAGAATTAAAAATTCAATTACAAGAATTGATGGACAAAGGTTTTATTAGAATTAAGAAGAATGACGGTTCAATGCGTCTCTGCATTGACTACAAGCAGTTCAATAAAGTGACTATTAAGAATAAATATCCACTTCCTCGAATTGATGACTTATTTGATCAATTAAAGGGAGCTTCAGTGTTCTCAAAAATTAATTTACGTTTTGGTTATCATCAATTAAAGATTCAA